CTGTCATAGGTGAGGAGCACAGTGTCACACACCGGCAGGTGGCCAGTCAGGTGGCAAGTCCTTCTGCTTCACTTACACGACAGCCTCACCTACCGCGCTGTCAGCACCAGCCCTTTCACCATCCTCCCAAACTCCTGGCTGGACTGGAGGAACAAAATCGATTGTTAGAGGCAAATGTAACCCTGTTTGGGGGACCCAGAAGAAGCAAGCGTCTCTCAAAAAGTGGCTTCTCTCTTGTTTCAAGTTTAACAGCCTCCAGCAAATTTCAACCTCCTTGAAGAGGAGGGGAAGAACAGTTGCGGGGAAGAACAGTTAATGCATGGGAAGATGTGTACACAAACACAAGGAAAGCAAAGCAAGATAAGGAACTGGTTCATAAAGGAATACCCCACCGTGTTAGAGGAAGAGTTGGGCAACTTTTCTGCAGAGCACAAAGAATGCCAGCATTCAGAACTCCCGAAGATGACCCCTCCTGGTGACAAACCTGATGTTGCAAAAGTCACACCCAACACAATTTTTTTAAGGAAAAAGCTTTGGATGGGAGATTTCATTTAATGTGATGAAAGCATATTCTTTAGGTTTGGTTAAGGTCATAGAATTGTTTTATAGTTGGGTTCTTGCTTATGCAGGTGCCAGAAGAAGTGCTGTGGATATTTGCTGAATTCATGCAAGATTATAGACTTCATGAACTTTTAAAACCAAGTATGGCCACTCATGATGGTGGATACCAGTAACCCCAGCTACCCAGGAGGCTGAGACAGGAGCATCTCAAGTTCAAAGCCAGCCTCAGAAACTTGTGAGGTAGGTCCTGACAATCTTTCTTCCAACTTTTCTACTACCGATTGCAACAAGGGTGCGTGTGATATCTTTCTGTCTGAGGATTTAGAAATAGTAGTTCAAGCAGAATTGGGGCTTCTGCAAATGAATCAGGCAGAATTAATGCAACTTGACATGGAAGGGATGTAACAGCACTTTCAGGTCATTTCACATCCCTTTGAAGGTGGTTCCAGACAAATTAATCCAAGCATTTTACCAAGTCAAATCCAACTCAGAAAACAAAAGAAAAAAGAAAAAGCTTGAAAAAGAATGCTCAATAAAAATTAAAGACATGGATCAGCAAGTTGATAATAAAATATTATGCACAAGAAAGAGGCTTTAAAAAGAGCGCATTGAGCCAGGCGAGGTGGCGCGGTCCTGTAATCCCAGAGGCTCAGGAGGCTGAGGCTGAGGCAGGAGGCAGGAGAGTTCAAAGCCAGCTTCAGCAACTGAGCCAGGCCCTAAGCAACTGAATGCGACCCTGTGTCAAAAGCAAGGTGCTAAGCAACTCAGTGAGACCCTGTCTCTAAATAAAAGACTAAATGGGGCTGGGGATGTGGCTCTGTGGTTGACCGCCCCTAAGGTCAATCCCTAG